AGGGTACATGTGCAGGTTCGTTACACAGGAAAACTTATGTCATGAGGGTTTGTTGCACAGATGATTTCATCACCCAGGTGTTAAGCCTAGTACCGATTAGTTACTTTTCCTGATCCTCTCCCTTCTCCCACCCACCACCCTCAAGTAGGCCCCAGTGTGTGTTGTTCCCTCCATGTGCTCTTACCATCTAGCTCCTACTTATAAGTGTGAACATTCCAGCCAGTGCTTTCTGATGTGCTTACATTTTGCTGAGTGCCTTATGTTTATTCATTCAGTGTTCACAACTATCTTATGAACTTGTTATGATCATTTTTACCATTTTACAGATGAGAAAACTAAACTATAGAATGATGGAGTAATTTGTGCAGGTCACATCACTAGGAAGTTGGGAGTCAGGACTTGAATGCAGGCAATCTGGCTCCAAAGTCTCTCACCAATCAATCATATCAGTTCTCATACTGTAACTGGTATAATAAAAAATAAAAAAATAAAAACATTTATTTGTTTCTTGTGCAAACTAGAAAGTGTCACCTACTTGAAGAGAAAAATTTCTTCCATAATGTGGATACATCAGGAAGTGAGATTTGCATTAGGCAACATGCCCATAGGTTCATCCTCACTGGGAACGTCTAGTGTGTGCCAGAAAATGGTTCCACAGCAGGAGTCCCACCGCTGGTCCGTCAGGGTGGCTTCCAAAGATAATAAAAGCCCAACAATTTCTGCAGCTACTGCCACTCTCACCCTGGTCCAAGCCACCACCCTCAGGGATTGGTGTCATGGCCCCCGAAATGCTTCTACCAGTACCGTGTCCTGTCATCAGCAGGGCAGCTGGATCACATGGCTGCTTGTTCCATTCAGAACAAAAGACTCTATCCAAGAGCCTGTGTGATCTGCGCCCTTCCTATACATCACTTCTTTACCCCTCACCACCCTGCCTCCAACCCCACATCCTTACCTGAGCCACAAGCCTTCAGATTGTTCCTGGGCAGGCTCACATCAGGCAAGTTATGCCTCAGGACCTTTGTGCTTCCTGGTCCCTCTGTTGGAAGTGCTCCCCCTGAAATGTTACCTGACCCGTGCTGATCACTGCAGCACCATCACCCACCACTGCACCCACTCAGCTCTCTATCCTTCCTCCCTGCATTATTTTCCTCCTTAGTGTTTGTAATGACTTGCTCTTCCATCTATTTTACGAATGTATTAGTTTCTTCTTTGTCTCTGAACACTAGCGTGAACACTTTCTTTTTTGTCTGCTTTCTTTCCCAGTGTAATCCCAGAACTGAGAATCCAGTGGGCATTTTACAAATTGACTAAATGAACAAATGAGTGCATTGTGGAGTTGTTTTGCAGAATTAAATGAACTGGCATATGAAAAGCATTTAGAATAAACAATGCTTAGCATGAAATTAATGTTTAATAAATGTCAGGTATCAATAAAAGAATAACATAATAGTTATTGAATGAATGATGCATTTGATACTATTACTTTTTCCTGTGGTGGGAGGAGGGTAATCAAGCTACAGATGTTTTAAATATTTTAATGTACATTTACAGTGTGTGCTAGAGGAGATAATCAGGGACATTGTTTGTGTTCTCTTTTCCTATTGTCTGGAGGGCATACTGTACCACTCTTCTCTAGGCAAGTGGGTGGTTCTCAAACTTCGCTGGACTTGGGAATCACCTGGAGATTTTTAAAAAACTGATCCTGTTTCCCATCCCAGATATTCTGATATAGTCAGTCTGGAGTGTAACTCAGGCATTAGGAGTTTTGAAATGCTCCGTGAGTCATTCTAATGTGCTGCAAAGTTTGGGAATCACTGCCTTAAGCTTTTCACAGAGCTAGCAACAGCCGAAGGAAAAGCCTTCCTCAGTCCCTCTCTATGCTTGGAATCGAGAGTTGTGCCAACCTCGGTTCAAAACACATGCAGCCATTAGCAAGTCACCTAGCTTTAGTAAACTTTACCTTCCTTAATTTTATATCTGTTGTGGAAAATGGCAAAAACCCAGAATCCAGGGCCAGGCTCCACAATTTTAAATTTTCCTCTTCCCTCCCTTTCTTCCTTTCTTCTTTCTTTCCCTTCTGTCATCTGAAGATAAAAGGACAGAATCGTTTTCAAATGTGGCTCAAAAATGGCATGCTCTGAGATGGTGATGGTGCTTTCTTACAGAGGAGATCAGAGAAATAAAGTGTCCACCATGCCTAGGTGACATCATTCTCCCCCAGACATGCCGAGCTGTACCTATTTCAGGCCCAGGAGGGATCAATCTCTGAAGGTCAACTTCCCACCCATTGGGGCCCACTGTGGGAGTATCAGAGGTCTTCCTGGTGTCCTGGGTTCAATCCCTGGCCTCCCCACTTCTTCCCTGTGTCTTAGTGCCTCCCAGCCTGGGGTCTTGTCTGAGGCTCTTACCCTGGTCACTGGGGCTCACTCTGCATTGGTTTTGCTGGCCTACTCAGGGTCTGAAATTCTGTCCTCTGACATCCAGGCCTCTCCATCTGATCTCCTACCCACCTGAGTTCTACCCACCTCTCTTCATCCATCCCAAGAATATACCATATCATGGTAGCCATGTCTAATTTCTGGGTTCAGAAAAGCACCTGAACCCACCCTATAATGCCACCAATCTCAGCCAGGACTTTTCTATTAATAGAATGATGGTGGGACATTGGGGATATCACACTGGTGCAGCCAGCATCATGGGTGTGTGACCCATGCGTTGACATAGGACCCTGGGCTGGGTTTAATGTTCTGCTGTCTTGAAGTTAGTCATGTTTGAATGAAAGGCTCCACATTTTCATTTTGCACTGTTCCTGCAAATTATCTAGTGTGCGCCACACTTCAAATCAGAAGACGTGGTATGGATTGTACCTGGCTTACACCCGAGAAGAGCGTGACCTCAGCCAAGTTATTTTTCTTTCTTGGCATTTGCAAAGAAGGAATGTGAGTGGGGTAAAACTGCCTCCATCATAGGGGAATTTTAAGAATGAAATAAGGTAACAGATGAGTGTCAGCACATGGTGCATAACATGTTAGTTCTCAATGAACACTTCTCTTTTTCCTGTCGTTCCACCTCCCAAGCAGCTAAGTTGAAAAGACACTTCCTTTCTGTTTAAAATGCATTTATATGTTTATTTTCCTAGATAGTGATATATACCTAAAGGACAGATCTTGGAAGGTTTTCATTGACCTTACCTAATTCTTATTAATTACACAGAAAGACAACAGGATTCCTTCTTTGCTATCTTTCTTTATTATATTGAACAATATGTTGTCCAGATGGCATGTAGAGTAGCATCTTCCAAGTCATTTTTAAATGTTCTTCTTTTACTTATTGAAGAAGATTGCATATAGAGAAAATTGAATCAAACCCATGTCATTGAAATAATCTTAGCTTACATTACATTAAGGAGATTTCTATTGTTCAGACTAATAACTCTTCCATGAAAGAAGGCTGCCTTGGACAATGTGCATGAGTGAAGATTAAGAGTCATGGGAGTGGATCTTTGACCATGGGCCCTTAGTGACAGTAAAACAGTATTTTCATCTTAGCTTTGCTATTGGTAAAATACACAAAATAGTACTAGTTCTGCCCTCTCATTCTCAATTTGTGGATCAAATTAGGTATCTGTGGAAGCATTCTGAAAATTTTTGAATGCTATACAATTTTCAAGTTGGGATTATTGATACGACTTCTGAAGTTTAGGTGTTAATGAAAAGATTCATTTGAATCACTTGAAAATCTTTCCATAAAACAAATGCCAAGAGCTAAGTTCTCAACTTCTTTGGAAAGGGTGATGCATTTGGCAACAGGATAACGTGTCACCACCAAAATAATCCCCAATTTTACTGGGGCCAGAAGCCATAGGTATTACCTTCTAAATGTCTAAAACCCTCTGAGGCTGTTTCTCAACGTATCAGTTATAACTTGATAGCTTTTCACAAATCTCTTTTTCTCTACTTATTAATTTAAGTATTAATAGAGAATCTACTGTGTGCCAGATATTGTTCTAGGTACCTGAAATAAATCAGTGAATAAAACCAAGTTCCTTTTCCTCATACAATATATGCTACAGTGTAGAAAGCAAAACAATAAAAATAACCATAAGATTAAGTGTACAGTTTACCCTTGAACAAGATTAAGTATACAGTTGACCCTTGCATGTGGGGCTTAGGGGTGCCAACCCCACATGCAGTCAGAAATCCACATATAACTTTGGATGTCCTCAAAGCTCAATTACTGATAGCGTACTATTGACCAGAAGTCTTACCAATAACATAACAGTTGATTAACACATATTTTGTATATCATATACATTATACTCATGTGCTGTATTCTTACAATAAAGTTAGAGAAAAGAAAATGTTATTAAGAAACTCATAAGGAAGAGAAAATGTATTTATTAATCATTATGTAGAAATAGATCATCATAAAGGTCCCCATCCTCATCGTCTTCACATTGAATATGTTAAGGAGGAAGAGGTGGAAGAGGGGATGGTCTTGCTGTCTTAGGGGTGGCAGAGGAGGAAGAAAATCCGTGTGTAAGTGGACCCGTGCAGGTGAAACCTGTGTTGTTCAAGAGCCAACTGTATTCTACAGCACGTTAGCACATGATTAGTGCTATGGGGAAAAAATAAGTAGAAGAGTGTAAAGGGGATCGGCATGCTGGGGAGCAGGGTTGCATTTCTGAAATGTATGGCCAGGATAGTCCTCTTCAAGAAGATCACATGTGAGCAAGAGGTTGAGAGAGGTGAGGCTGGAACATACGCACATCTGCAGGATAGGCATTCCAGGTTGGAGGAGGAACAGCCAATGCTAAAGCCCAACGCAAAAGTGGCCCAGTGAGTAGGCCATGAAAGAAGCATGATTATGGGTCTCCCCAGATCTTTCTCACTCTCTACCGAAAGACAGGTTTTGAAATTAAAGAGACTATGATTGCCAGGCCAATGCCTAAGACATACATTGATGCCTTGTTTCTCATGTATGTGCTTTCTCCACAGTCACATGACACAGGCAATCCCTTTTGATGACCCTCGGTTAGAGAGCTGCCAAATCATCCCTCCGGCTCCTCGGAAGGTGGAGATGAGAAGGGACCCCGTGCTGGGGTTTGGTTTTGTGGCAGGGAGTGAAAAGCCAGTGGTCGTTCGCTCAGTAACACCAGGTAAGTACCCAATCCCGGTCTTGGTTTCCTGGGACTGTCTGCCACACCCTGCCAGAATGACTACTATTCAGTCTCATAAGTGTCCAGGCTGTAAAAGTTGGATATGTTTTTTCAAAACTTGGATAGAGTCACTTCGCCAGAGGGATAAAAATGCCTCATCAAACTAGGTTTTAAACTGCCAAATCCATCATTATCACCTGACTCAGGAAAATACTGAGCCATCATCTATAATCATGGAAATGACCCACTTCTTAACTTATGAATGCAGACAATAAGAGGCAGGCACGGTACTGTATTACAGTAAGCCCATGATGAACTGCTTAGTTAAAACAAAAAACAAAAAACAAAAAAACAGGAAGTGGTTACAGTAGGATTGAGTCGTTGGGGTAGTTGTATTATTTTACAAGTATACATTCCCCCCCCCTTCTCATTAGAGGCAGAATAAAGGGAAATCCATACTCCATTGCTGTTGGGCTGGACCAGGTGATTGACATTGGCCAATGGCATATTAGCAAAGATGACAAAAGCAAAGGCTTGAGACATGCTTGTGCTGTTGATCTTGTTTCCTGAGCTTCGGCCATGGCTATAAGAAGGGAGTGTTTAGCTGGGCATGGTGGCTTATGTCTGTAATCCCAGTACTTTGGGAGACCAAGTCTGGTGGATCACTTGAGGCCAGAAATTCGAGACCAGACTGGCCAACATGGCAAAATCCCATCTCTACTAAAAAGACAAAAAATTAGCCAAGCATGGTGGCACATGCCTGCCATCCCAGCTACTTGGGAGGCAGAGGCATGAGAATCACTTGAACCCAGGAAGGGGAGGTTGCAGTGAGCTGAGATTGCACTACTGTACTCCAGCCTGGGCAACAGAGTGAGATCCTGTCTCAAAAAGAGAGAGAGAGAGAGAGAGAGAGTTTTCTCCAGGTAGCTGTGACCTCTTCCATCTGAGTCCCATAATGAACACATGAGGCAACAGGCCCGCAGTGGGGAGCCAAGTACAGCCTCATCTGCAGTTTGGTACAGAGCTGTACAGCTAAGCCAGGCTGAAATCATCCAGTCTGCGGTTACCCTGAAGACCCATAACCATGAGAAGAAATGATCATTGGACACCTATTGAGCTTTGGGGTGATTTGTTATACAGCAAATGCTGACTAATACAGTACATGTCAAATCTTTAAAATTCTACAACGTTAGATATTAATGTACTTTCCCTTGATCACTCACATTAGAGTATACAGATGTTCCACTGTCAACACAGCTGAATACAATGGACTATGATACAATCAGCTGAAGTGGGCTGTCTTTGCCTTTGCAGAAACAATGTGCTTTTATTATTTATTTATTATATATGTATTTATATGCTTACTGTAATGGATTCATATTGGATTTATTTTCAGAAAAAAAGGAAATTATCTTCCATGTCCTATCTTTCCAGGATTTTGCAAATCAGTAACAGAGTTCAGCAGTAAAGTACTACACTTAGGAGCACAGACTCTGCCATCAGATTGCCTGAGTCTGACTCCTACCTCTGCCCCTTTTTAGACTTTTTAGCTTCCATGTGAAATTCCCTGCATTTCAGTTTGATGTAACTTCTCTACATCCTCTGTATAATGGGGATCAGAGTAGTATCTACCTTGTAGGGCTATGGAGAGGATACAATATATTAGAAGAGTGCTGAGTACATCCTGGTCTTTCCGTAGATGTTTATTTTTCTTGTTATCATTATTTAACTCTAAAAGGTTTGGCCAGTTGAGTCTCTCAATTAAGGGAAACAAACGCCAACTAGCGTCTGGTATAGATGTTTAAATTTGATTTAATTTTTTATTTTTCATTATTTTGACATAATATGCCCCAGGGCAAGCAACCCAAATAATTAACCACTTTAGACTTGTGTTATCTGCTAAAGTTTTTTATTTCATTAAATATGGGTCATATTTTAGTTCTCTGTGTAGGACTGTTGAGCTTGACACAATTGAGAATTCTCAAAACAGATTTGTTGCTTCTTTTGTTAACATGCTTTGTAAAACAAAAATAGAAACAATGTAGATAGTATAGAAGAGAAAGTAAAAAAAAAATAACAAACCTGAATTCCTACTACCAAGAGATAGCCATTATTGATGTAGACAGAGATAATGTGTATAGTAGAGATAATTCCATGCATACACAAGCACACATATGTATTACATATCAGATAATATATTTTATACATACATAAAACATATATGTAGATGCGTGTGTGTGTATGTACACACATTTTTCCTAAATGGAATAATATTTGGCATGCTGTTTTATAATATTGGGATACTCTAATACCTCTGATTATGAGATTATCCAAAGTATGTGTCTTCCCAGAAGCTGAATGGAGATTCAGAGTCTTATTTTTCTTTTTTTTTGTATCATCTCACTGTTCCTACAACCTCTCTCCTTCTTTGCCCTCAGGTCTCCTTAGCGTCAAAGACACTAATACCTACTGTTATACAATTTTGAGAAGAGCAGAAAGAAAGTAAAAACAAAGGTCAAAGAGTACTATTTCCAGTTATTTTTATGAGTGAAATTGCTGGTCATACAAGCTGTGTCTTTCATAAAAATGACTCTACAGAAGTACCAAGTGACTTCAGTGCGTGACTAGATCTTCTATAGTAGGCAATCCAGACTTCAAAGTGAAGGCCATGAGACGGTTCTCTTGAAGTGTGCCACTCTTTTGTATTTTGGATTGGACAGTGTGTTTCTTCTCCAGAATTCCTGATTAAAGTTGCTTGATTAGACAAGAATAGTTTCATTTGATCAAAATGCATAGGTCAAATGTAAGAGTGTGTTAATCTGAGAGTGGCTTTCTTATTAGAATAGTTAACATTCATCCTTCAGTTACTTTGAAAATTTTTCTGTATTTGACCAGCATTTGATTTCTAACCACTTGTTTGACTAAATTTGAGTGATTGCTTGCACATCATTTAATACTTACAGTAAGTTTCCCAAGTGGTTTTTCTGAATTCCTTATGCGTGCAAACACTGAATCCCACATCTGTAAAATGAATATTTTCTATCACTAATATGAGGACAAGTTAAGGTTCCCCTACTCTCTTACTTCACAGAAGGAAGACGAATTTATGCTACAGCTTAAGTGACATATATGCCTAGTGTCTGGGTGGGTAGAAAACAACTGAATTACTTTCAGTTCCATGTTCTGGTTATGAAGTGCTCATTTCAATTACTAAATGAAGTAACAGCAAAAATATTTGAAAGATAACCTTTCAGCTGCACCTATCACCCGGTGTCAGACCTGTGGAAATATAGTTAAAATTATAGTACCATATGCTACCATATCAATATTTGGGAGGTAATTGCACATGTCTAGAGCTCAATCCAGGTAATTGTTTTTAGGTCTTACTTGAATACAGATGTATGCTTCACACAGATGTGATTTTAAGTTTATGTGTCAAGAGGCCTGGCAGTGACTAGGTTCTGAATTACAGGAGCAAGTTCAAAGGAGACACTGGCCATTCTAAACTTGCAAGTGTCCAAGCTAAGATCTAGACCTACCTTCAAGTCAAATCTTTAACCTGTGTGAATCTCAATTATCTTATTATATGGAAGGGATTATAGTATTCTGTGAAGTTACTAGGCCAAGAATTTAACCCATTGCCTTGTGCTTCGAGAAATGCATTATCTCACCCTGCACCCCTGCAGGGTAACAAGATCCCCAGGTGATTCACAATAAAGTGTGAGAAGCGCTGCTAGACTGAGTCTCAACCTTGCTTGTAAAGTTTTAGAAAAATGTGGATGCCTGGGTCCCACCCCAAAAGATTCTTATTTAATTGGTCAGGGTACAGCCTCAGAAATGTCCGAAGAACACCCAAGTGTGGCTGTTTCAGTTTTGCTGATAGCACCATTTGCTCACAGTGAATCATGATCAGGGGAGGAGGCTTAAGATGGGTCGCCAATATTTTTCTTACCTGTTCTTCATTCTCCTTTGTCTCCAGGTGGCCCCTCGGAAGGCAAGCTGATCCCGGGAGATCAGATTGTAATGATTAATGATGAACCGGTCAGCGCTGCACCCAGAGAGCGGGTCATCGATCTGGTCAGGTGGGTGAGTCATTCACCTGTGTCCTGTCTGCCTTGAAGGCTGCTGCACAGTTCTGAGATCTGAACTAGCAGAGGAAGAGCCTCCTGTGGGACAATTTAGGACAGAAACACAAGCCAACACATTCACATCATTGAAAATGCTGCTGACACTGACCTGTAGTATAAAAACACATGCTCCATAAACACAAAATACCTCATTGTCCACTCTCTGTTAACACTGAGGGTACATATGCTTCAGTTGAAAATTTTTATGACTCCTATATCCAAAGTTTGCATTTTATTCCTTCCAGAATTACTAACACATTGATTTTTCGTAATCAGGGAGATCAAAATGCAATACCTGAATTCACCGTAAGTGATGAGTAATTTTATGTACATAATCCCATGGATATACAAACATACAGTTCACTGATACTTCATATTCGACTAAGTGCTTCATTACTGAATTTTGAGATTATCTAATGTGGCGATAGGATGATTAGGTCAAGGCTAAGAGTTTATAAAACACACTTGGTTTATTGGTTTGGTTTTATTGTAGATATAAGTAGTTTGTTATGTGATATTCTTAATGGGGCACCAGAAAATGTGTTTTGTGTTAAAAATATTGGTCAGGAACCCCCTTAGAAGCCCACTGGAGTTATACTTCCTTACTGAATTTACAGAAAAAGAGATCTTTACAAGTTTTTCAAATGAAGAAGCTGGGCCTATCATATGAATGTATTCATTCATGCTATGGGAGTGTTAAGGAATAAGGAGACATGACATTTGTCTTTTATAAACTGATATTTTCAACCAAGATTGAAGCCAAAGCTGAGGTTATCAGAACACTTTTCCCTGAAGAGGGGATTTCCTAACATTTATGCCCAGTCATTACAAAAAGTATTAGGTTGGTGCAAAAGTAATTGCGATTTTTGCTGTTCCAATTGCAAAAACAGCAGTTACTTTTGTACCAACCTAATCCATCTGTACTTTGGGAAAGGGATTAAGTGGAGTATTTCTGGGGTCTTTCAGAGGAAGTTTTTTCTCAAGCCTAGTTCAGCTTTTGCTTCACAAAGAGGTTCTGGAGGGTCAAGAACTCTTGGAAAAACTGGGAGAGGGGCAAAAAGAGAAATAGAAAGAGAAGGCACTCACTTTTAGTATAAGCAGTCATCCCAGTTTTAGCATTTAAAAGGCCCATATCCCAGGAAAACCCCCTCTGTCCTGGAATGGTTGGTCACTGCTATGGTCTAAATGTTAGTGTCCCCCCAAAATTTGTATATTAGAACCTAATACCCAATGTGATTTGTATTAAGAAATGAGGCCTTTAGAGAAGTGATTAAGTCATTAGGTCTCTGCCATCATGAATGGGATTAGTATCCTTATAAAAGGTTGAAGAGAATTGCCTTGCTCCTTCTCCCATGTAAAGACACAGTGACAAAATGCCATCTTTGAGTAATGGGGCCTTTACCAAACACCAAATCTTCTGGAAGATCTTGGACTTCACTTCCTCCAGAACTGTGAGAAATAAATTTCAATTATTTGTGAATTACCCAGTGTAAGGTATTTTGTTATAGCAGCTCTAACAGACTAAGACAGTCACTCTATTTCAGACTGGGCTTAATGGTCACCCTGCTTCATCTGGGCTTAGTTCCCAGTTGACTAGAAAAGTCATACCTTTACTTCTGGGGCATCCAGATCTCCAAAGAATGGTCTTACACAGGAGCAGACACTGACACTGCATCAGGAACAAGATCTGGGAACGTCTCCAATCTTTCTATGGACAAGGGGAGCTAGAACAGGGAAAGATTCTGTATGTAAGAGCCCTTGGGAGGGAGCAGTAGTGTTCATTTGGAATAACTTCTCTCTTGAGATATGTGTGGGTGTCAGCAGGGGCACACCTCATCTAGGCAGGCTCTGAACCTTCTATTAGCTTGCATCCTGGAGTGCCATGTTTGGGCTTGATGGCAGAAGTTGCGTGGACATTTTGTTGTCCCCTAGGTATGCACCTCTGTGATTATTACTATTGATTTCTGTGCTTGGAGGATGATAGAAGAAATAAAATGTCTATGTTTAGGTTGGCTGTGATTTAATTGCCTGCTGCAGGACAGTGACAGAGAAAAACCTATCTGAAAGTGTGATCATTTCCTAGCAATTCTTCCAGGGATATGTAAAAAGACTATTTACAAAGAAGATATTTTCTTTCTGGTTTAATGCTTGTAGAAGAAAATGGCATATCTGTAAACAAAGCGCTCTCTCTAGAACTTTACATATAATAAAAAGAGCCAGTTAAAAGAGAGGATGGCAAACAGCTCCAAGTTCAAATCCAGCCTGCCACATGTTTTTGCAAAGTCCCTGAGCTAAGAAAGGTAGGGGTTTTTTTTAACCATTTTTCAAAAGTTGAAAAATATATTTTGTGAGACATGGAAATCATATACAATTCAGATTTTAGTATCCATAAATATTTTGGTGGGTATAGCCATGTTTGCTCATTTACATTTGATCTATGTCTGCTTTCCTGCTACAACAGCAGAGTTGAGTAGTTGCAACAGAAACTACCTGACTCACAACCTTTTCACTCTTATTAAACCACAATGTTAAAATAATGTATGTCTCACTAATGAAAATGATCACACATTAGAAAATATTCCTATGCCTTCCCATAAGCTTACTCATCTGTCTGCCATAATGTGTACTAGCCTAAACATTTAACTCTTGTAAAAGAATCCCCTTTTTACTGGGCCCTTCAGCTGATACATGTTTTGAGGTCTATATCTTACACAAGATAAATTCCCTTTCTGTATAAAAAAAAAAAAAAACATCCCATTTTCTGAGCCACTAAGGAAATTGGGAAAAACACTCATCATTTTGATAACACTGTAAATTTCTCTCTTTAAAAATTGGCATCCATTTACTGGCTTTAGTGGTGTAGTCTTGTTTTGTTCCTTTTACCCCATCACAGCATGTGTTCATGGATCATTTTTTGTTCCCAGATACATTTGTTTCTTGGTGGATTATTTTTCTTATCATTGGGTTACTCTATTATAGAAAAGTATTCTTTTCTTGTGAAAATGAAAAAATTTCGCAGAAACCAATTTACTGCTATACTAACGACATTTTGGTTTTTCATGTAGTCTCGAAAAGCTATAATTGCTGCACTGAAATTAGATGAGTTCTGTTCACTTCATAGTCTTCTAAGTTGTTAACTCTAACTCAGACTTTATAGTGTTTGAGGAGCAAAATCTTTGAAGAATCCATGCCCTTTACAAATTACCATATCTTTCTTCTTTAAAAGTATCTAAGAATGACTTTCTTTTCACAATTAGACTAATTACCTTGAAGCACTCTCCAAAATTTTATTTTTAAGAAGTAAGGAGTATTACTTCCCATAGAATCATTATGAATTGTGCCCTGCCTTCCCACTCCCAAGGCTGGCTGGCCCAATTAAATTCATTTGACATCCACAAAGAAGTATTGAGGATTAACAGACATCATGTAAGGCACTGAGCATATATAGATACATAGGCATAATTCTTGCCCTTGAGGAGAAGACTTCTATCTAATTAATTTCCCTATATTTATGACAGGACAAGGTTGTTGACGAGGGTAGTCAACATTTGGTAGGAATGTTTGGTGGAGATGGATGGTGTGTTAAAGGATGTTATTGATGGTAGTAAAGAGTAGCCATCAACGCGAAGTGAAAGAGCAGGTTTATGCATGAGAAGGGAGTTGTAAAATAGATCTTTTCTTTGACCCTGAAAACCCCAGACCTTCCTTATGAACACTCACTTTCCAACCTGCAGATATTTAAAAAATCCATTGCCTAGGTGGCTGTCCTGAATCACAACCTCAAAATTTGGTCCTTCAAGGCAGCAACATAAATCTACTAGCTGCTGTTAGACTGAGTGCAGGAAACTTTTTGGATTAGAGATGCAATTGGGAACCTGGTAAATGCCATATACCTTTCCCTCCATCCAGAAAAACCCACATGTATACAAAGTTCTGCATACAATATTAGAATGTTTTTTGATCCCCTAAAGTTAGTCCCAGTTTTAGAGCCGGTGTAGCAGACTCTGAGAACGCTGTCTCCCTTCCTCCCCCTTCCTCAGCACCAGATACTAACATTGAAGAGTCAAGCACATAAACAAGTTGATCTTATCCTTTTCTATCAGGGCAGTTGAAGTGGAAAATTGCCCATCCCATAATAAGAAGGTACAGTGGTCAAACTGGAGACTAATTCCCCATTGTCCCAACATCTGTAATAGGGCAGCTAACTATCCTTCCCTCTGACTTCTGCCACTACTTATGTTGATTATTCCTGCTGATCTAATTGATGAGCAGTGTTATAGCTATGGCTATTTATCTACAGAGGGTTGCTCACATCTGCCAGACATGTCACCCTTCTGTTACTAATATCCTGGGAATTGGAGAGCTTTCCTGGGTAGCAATAGTGTTCTTTCAATAAGAAAGTAACTGTAATAAGAAATAAGAATAAATGATAGGGGAGCGACATTAATAAGGTGGCAAAATGAGGTTCCCCATAGGTATCCCCCACAGCAACTATAATCTGGCAGCCACCTATGGACAAAAGTGGCTTTGTGGGAGCTTTGAGATCCAAGTTGGTCACTAAACCCTGGTGCAGCCCAAGACCAAGGAGGGCCATTTTGAGAAGGCAGACCCACCGAGGCCTTGGTGGCAGACTCACTGACTATGATCCCAAATACAGACCCAGAAACAACCACATCCCCCTGTGGAGTTGGCTGCAGTCCTATTTGGCCTTGGTCCTACAAGGGGCCTACAAAGAGTCATACCTACTTGGGCCTTGGGTAACAGATCTGCTGACCTTGGCCCCAGTTGTAGACCCTAAAGTAGCTTGTGACCAAGCTCCAGCCTCTCTCAGCCATTTTCTGGGAGCAGTCCCACCTGTCCAGGGACCTGCTGGGAAACAGGCCAATTCATACCCCCAGAGGTAGGCCTGTACCTTTTGAAACATCCCTGTAATTCAGCTCCAGCCTCTCTCAGCC